CCCCCGACCAAACCCTCCTCGTAAAAAAATAATTAATTAATTAAGAACCCAGTGCTGGAACATTTTAAGAAAGAAAAAAAAAACACTACGAAAAACCAATCTATGCACACTCGAAAGTGACACAAATGTTAAATCATGAAGTTCAGCACAAGACTTAATTTCTGATTAGTCGTTTTTGTTCTTGAAGTTCTGTACAAAAGTAAATTCCAATAAGTCGTTTTTGTTCTTGAAGTCCATCCCACTTTACTTTACTTCTACTTTTCCGATCCAGCGGCCATTTGGGCTCTAGCCCTTCGGTCTGTCAATATGGCAAAGAATTGACAGGTTTTAATCAGCTGTGCTTTGTCGCTGTATAGAGTGTTTCCGATGTCTGGGGAGGCAGGTAGGTTGGTGCTACGCAGGTCACAAAGTGAGGAAAACAATTCTTTTTTTTCACCCCTTTTATTTAATGTAGGCCCTTTTACGTTCACATCCCTGCAGATTATGTCATTTCGGACCTCAGGGACAACCTGTGCTGAGAGGAATACAACATCCCAGCAGTAAGACAGACAGAGGGGAAAACTCGATAAAAATTCTCTCCACTCGGGAATTGAACTCGGATCTCCTGCGTACGATTGCGAAATGCCTCACCACTACACCAATAGATGCTAGTTATAACAGTTCAGTGATGCGATATATTACAAAAGTAGTTTCTGTTCATCGATCACCCTTGGCCTAGAACATGGAAGTTTTTTGTGGGTTTTTTTTTTTTTTTTTTTCAAGGGGGTTCCGGCGATGACTTCCTAATCGCGTTTGGGTTTGAGTAAAAAGAAACACATCAATGGGAACTCAATAACGGTCATTTAGGGCTGGGGAAAAAGTAAGGCAATTGAGGGAAAGTAAAGAAGTAGGACCTGGCAGTCCCGTACCAGTGGTACCCTCCAACCACCCGCATGCAGCGAAGAAAAACAAGAAGACAAATCAAAACCACAGAGGGAAGGCAGAAAAAAAGTAAGACCTTCCAGTGGTTCCCTCCAACAACCCGCAGGCTACATAAACGAACGCGACAAGCGCGCATGCGAGCAACAACTGAGCGAAGGCTACCACCATCCGTTCTTGCATTCCGCCGTCTCTCTCTCCGCTCGGTCATGAAATGAAGACAGTTCGCTGTCAAAGGTTCCATCTTACTATAACAACCACAGGCAGATAGCACCTTCTAACTCACAAGAAAACGCTCCAACAGTTCATTCACCCCCCTGCGCTGAGCGAAACTCGTACTCAGCGAAGGAATCGCCCACCCCCCCCCAAAAAAAAAGAAAGAAAGTCTACACGTGGCGAGATCACGCTCACGCTCATTTATTTACCGGAAAATGCGCTAAAGATGGCCGACTGATATAAGATAAATGTGAGATAAAGTTCATTTAGAGAGACTAGGGATATTTCTATGTTTGAGTAAAGAGGAGTGCATCGGCGCTGTAATGGTTGCTTAGTGTTTGGTGGGGGGAGGGGGTGGGTGGGGGGGGGGGGGAGTGAGACAGGTAGACAGAAACAACGGAGGGAAAGTAAACAAGTACGTCGGGTGGCGCCCTCCAACCACCTGTCGATAATTCAAACGCAAGGACAGAACACCACGCATTTACACTGTATCATTAATTGATCCCACATCAAGCGTGGTACGCGTTTATTACACTATAATTTACCAATACTTACATAATATGAGAAAGGACCCGACACGATCGTAAAATAATAATAATTGCATTTATATAGAGCATATTTATCATATGTGACTATGTCCACGCTCTACAGAATGCTCTATGCGCTTCACAACTATTATTACCCTAGCCGACCCAAAAACACTCCGAAACATTTTCAGCTTCCCGGGGAGCATACAGTGCGCAAGCTGCGGATTTCACGCGCTCACACATTAACAAACTGACAAGATCTTCCGCGATCTAAAGCCGGGTACCCATTTCCACCTATGTGACGTGAGGAAAATTCGTGCAGAATGCCTTTCCCAAAGTCACAATGTCGGGCCCCTTGACGGGATTCGAATCCACGACCTTACGGTTCTAAGTCCGAGAGCCGAACCACCAGGCAATCGACGCAACGACGAAAGCTAGTATTACAACTATGCTCCAAGTTGGCAATGACTTTCCCGAAAGTCATTACCAACTTACCCAGTGACGGGGCGTAGTGAAGGGCAAAAGGGCTTGAACCCCCTTCCCCCCCCCTCAACCCCTATCCTTACGTAAATGAATGTTTTTTTAACTGAGGAAATAATCATTTGGAACTGTAAATATTACTTTAAATTTTCCTCCCTCTAGTTGCGAGCAGACAAAACATACACTTGCTGGTTTATCCAATCCCTATTGTTACCCTTTACAATGACAGTACCCTACCTAACATCCAATCAAATGTCATTCTAGCTATAAAAAAACCCACAAAACAAAACAAAAGAAAAACAAATAAACTGATAAGCCCATTCCCATGGTGCTTACTTTATGAGAAACTCTTCCTGTACAGAGGTAGAAGATTTCTTTTTAAAGAAAAAAACAACAAAAAAAAACAAGAAATCGTGAAAACTGCATTCATGTACAAGAGAAGGCTTACGCTCTGCAAGCCTTGACAATACGGTCACCTGAAACAATTTTGAATTTTGCCCTGGTGGCGGCCAAAGACTTATCACTTTTAGGACCACCAAGGGATCTCTAATGGAAATTAACGACACAACTTGCGCATGGGACCTCCAAGATTTTTTTGCCCATATGTAGAAAGAGTTAAGAGTAAAGGAGAGATTCTAATTTTTTTTTTTTTTCTGAGCAACCTTTCTCAACCGAAAACACTGATAAACTGAAAAAAAAAAAATTCTGCAGTCCTGTAAATTTCAGCTTAAACACGACACCACGGTATAAAGTTAACAAAGAGGGCCAAAAGAAACCTGATGAAAAATAAAAGAACAAAATACAGTTGCAGTGAAAATAAAAAGTACAAATATCTC